ATGGCTTTCAGAAAAGGTACTGATGAGAAAGCCAGGAAATGGGGTTGGGGGTGGGGATGGGAAGGAAATAGGGAAATTGAACTTTTGCTTTTGTTTTTTTGGGGGAAAATCTCCAAAAGAGCGAAATGCATTATATTTTACTAGTAAAACCAATATTATGAGCTACCCATTTCAAGTAAGAATGATTGAAATTTGGGGAGAAACATTCTAAACAAGGAAATGGAAGCTGAAAGAGGAACCTATCCAACTTTTAGAAGAGGAAGTTCTGGCCAGCCAAATCTCTGTGGGCCTAAGTCCTCCAGGAGGAACCGAAGGAAGAGTGGTCAGCCAGCTCCTACGTGGAAAACCACCAACCACACTTAGATCACTGAGAACCTGCTGTAAGGGCTTCTGTCCTTGGTCCTGGGTCTTGAAAGCATGGAAAGAATGATGCACTAACCGCTGGCATTTTTGGAATGTCCAGAGAAAGCCATGGAGATCGGGGTGAAGTTGGCTGTGGGTGAGTTGTATACTCTGGGCTCAGTGTGTGTAGCAGACATTTTTACCTATATTCTGAGACCTCACTTTGAGGTGGGAAGGAGTCCACTCACCGACTATGGTTTTTGTCCTTATCTTTTGGTTGTCTCAGCAGAAATGAGACTGAAATGGTCCCATTATAACATCCTCCCATCTGATCATTCAAACAAGTCATAAACAGCCTCTGTAGGCCCAGGGAGACCCTCACAAACATTTTGACAGTTGGAACAAGAAGTCAAGGTCAAGTTTAATAGTGACACCTACCTTCCGATAGCAAAAACCGTCAAACCCACGGTAATCTTCTGTTTGCCATAGTAATTTTCCAAGATGGCTCTATTGTAAGTGCCTTCCCACACCACAGGTGCCTTCCAACTAGTCACTGTCACCACCTTTGGCCGTTTCCTGGTGACAAAACACAGAGTCCTGTGAGTGGGGACGGCTTGCTGAGGTGGGGCAGAGACTGTGGGCTCGGCTGGGATTTACAGTCACTGTCCCTGAATCCTGGCTGGGTCATAAAACATTTCAGGGGCAGCCTCTTCCAGGTGTGGGATGGGAGACCCAGGTGCCTCTGGGAGCTGTGGCTGTTATGAGCAGGGATCTTCCCTGCTCATCTCAGACCCTCTCCCTTTTCCTGCTTTCCTTGTTCTCTTTTTCCTCCTAATTTCCTTTCCTATCTCCACAGCCCTTTCCTAAGCCACAAGTGGCCCCTCTGGGTGTTGTTATCCCTGTGGGTACCATCTGAGCCTAAGAAGGACCTGATCCTTGACACAGGGTGATGAGACAGGGACAATGAGCTGAAAGAGAGAAAACCATCTCAATGTGCCTTTCACCAGAAAAGGATTTCTGAGTAGGAACCTGGTTAGAGGCCCAAGAGGGCCCCAGACTAGGGGGTTCTGATGTTATTATTTATTTCACAATCAAAGTGAGAGTCCCTCCCCCCCACCCCACCCCCCCAAAAAAAAGAACGGACCCAGCAGAGGCCCCTATAGCCCATGCTGGAGCACCCAGCTCAGACCATGGGCCTATTTTGGATTCTGCACTAACCTGTGCCAGGCACTTTCACATATATTTTCTCTTCTGGTCCTTGCAACAGGCCTGCCATGTAGTATATCCCGTTGTACAGGTAAGAAAACCAAAGCTCAGAAAGCTTTGTTAACTTGTTCAAGGCCACATAGCTGGCCACCGATGATGGTAACTAACACACACCGAGCACTTCCTATAGGACCAGATACTGTACTAAGAGCTTCACCTTTCAGAGGTGGGTGCTATTTTGATTCTCATTTTATCAATGAGAAAACTGTACACAGAAAGGTTAAATAACTTGCTTGAGGTCACATAGCTAGTAAGGGGCAAAGCTGGGATTTGAACCCAGATAGGCTAATTCTGGAGTCTGCGCCCTGAGCCACCACCCTTTATCACTTCTTATGCGGACATTTACCTGCTATGCTGATAAAGCTGGGGCTAAAACCTGGGTCTGCCATTATTTACACTCAATTTAGCTACTTCAGTAGTTTTATCACTGCAGAATGAGAAAAGCACTTTTCCCCCTTTTGTTTTTAGAAGCTTATGTGATGCTTTTAGTCACACAAAACTCCCAGCTTTGTTGAATGACAGAATTTCAAACACACACACACACACACACACACACTGCTTATAGTTCCATAGCCAACATTTCTGAACTTAAAATCTCCCATGCACTGTCACCTCACTGCAGTCCTGTTTTAGCTTGTCAAAGATCTTTTAACAGTTCTGACCCAGCCTAAGTTGTGCAGTTGTATAGGAGCTGGACATCTGGTAGGCAGGTAATATTAATTTCTTAAAAAAGGAAAAGAGGAGGAGGAGGAAAGGAAGGGAGCTGGTGTCCTGAATACTTATGGTACATAGGGGCTAAGTACTTGACTTTCACTGCCTCATTTAATCCTTACCATGGATTATAAAATAGATGCTATCATCATCTCCATTTTACAAATAAAGTGAGGGTAGGATAGGAGAAAGGAGCTTGGTCTTTAGCCATTTAATTTATAGGAGGGGCCAGACCAGGGCACTCAATCTCTCAATATACATTTTGGAAGTTCCTTCTCCTTTACCAGGCCCAGTGCTGAGCACGGGGATCAGATAAATGAGAACCCCCCACCCCCTACCACCTCTTGAGAATCTCAGTTTTGACAGGTGGCCAGCCTGCTACACACTCCTCAACTGCATGACCACTCAGGCCACAGCTTCTAGAAAGACTGAGTCAGAAAACCAGTGTTCAGTTTCATTACTTGGCTGGGAAAATTCTTCGAGCAGGGAAAAAAAAAGTAGCACTATTAAAAATTAATGTTTAATTAAAATGTCTTATTTCCCATCTGGCAAGTCCAATATGTCAGCACCCCTGACTAAGAAAAGAAGCCAGATGACTTACAGGCAGTGGTGGGGAGGGGATGGGGGACAGGATGAGATCAGTTTCCTGAATGAACCTCTGTATCAAGGTGTCTTAGTCCTCAAAACCCAAAACCTCCCTCCTGCAAACAAGAAGTGACAGGTCAGGCCACACATGTGCAAGAGCAGAGCTAGCCTTTGCCACTCTCAACTGCCAAAGATGTTCAAGGAGGGGAACTGCTGCTGGGAAAGACTCGTAGCTGCCCCCAAAACCTTCCAAGCAGAGTACCCACCAAGTCCACCAGTATAGGCCAAAGGTGTCCCACAAATTAAAAGGGCTCCAGAATCAAAACCTACACCTACTTGTGAGATTGGTAGCTTTTTCATTGTATATACTCATTTATGGGAACACTGTGGTATCTATCCAAGTGTTGGGGGGGAGGAAGTGTTAAAAGTCCAGTAACTGTGCATGCAGGTCAACAAAGATGTGGAATGCACACATTACTCAGTGAACTCCTTCTAGGCAGCAGCTGCTGGAGAGACCCAGCAAAGAGCCTATGGCAACAGGGACAAGGGTGAGGGCTGTGAAATGCAGATAAGATGATGTGGGAAGAATTTTAGAGAAAGAATTAACAGAACACGTTAATGAATTAGACTGTAGGATGGGTGGAGGAGGAGGCTGAATCGGAGAGCTGTCCCAGACCCTGGCTTTGAGATGGGAAATGAGGAGAACAAGTGTGGGGTGGGATCACGTGAGACATGCAGAGACATCAAGCAGGCAGTTAGACACAGTCAGCACTCAGAGGAAACCTTTGGGCTAATGATATACATGGGAATCAGTCTCACATGGATGGTCTCTAATGCCCTGGAGATGGATGAGAGCACATGGAAGATGGTGTGTAAAGAAGAGATGAGGCTACTGGACTCAACCTCCAGAAGCTCTAATCTGTGAAGGCGGGAAAGGAGAAGCCCCTGTCAAGGAGACAGAAGGGAGAATAGGGAGTAGGAGGAAAAGTACGAGGATCTGGTGTCAAAGAAGCTGAGAGATCTTGATGTAGAAATGTGTACACAACATACTGTGATGTTTTAGGTAGTTTACAGAAAAGAATACATTTATATAAATATATTTATTTGTTTATTCCATAGTCATTTATGTGAGAAATGCACTCTGGTGCCCTGAGAAGGCTTAAATTTGGTGCCGTTTCAAACCAATATTCTTTAAATATCTGCTCTCCTTTCCTTTAGAGAGAAGCTGAGCCATGCATGGGGGAGACTGAAGAGAATGGAAGCTGGTGGCCCTCATCTGACCCTCCTCTCTGTTCCCAGTAATTCAGCCCTGACCCCGCCACTCAAATCCTGCTCAGCAAAGCACAAGTGTCACCATAAAAGTGTGCCACCCTCATCAGAGGGTGGCATTATTCAGGCTTACAGATCCCACTGCCACCTGTATTCTGATGGCTTCTCATCCTCCATCTCTACCATGTATCTTCTACTGAGCTTGGGCACTGCTAATAGATGGGACACACTGCTTGTGTGTGCCCCCTCCCCCAAATTTATAAATTAAAACGTAATCCCCATTGTTATACCCTCTGATTTTCTATTTAATTTCAAGTTTTTTTAAAAAGCTGGTATTGACCCATTAAGCTAGTATCTGAATGCAGTAATGGAGAGTAACTGGATCTGAGTAATGGATCTGAGATTTTGCATCACCGTTGCCATTTTACAGATGAGTTAACTGAATCTCAGAGAGAATTTTCTTGCTCTGACTCTCCATCCTGTGGCTTTCCACAACATGCTGTGGCCTCTGAGACCACAGCTGAGTATTTTGTGATTCACCTGCTACCACTGGCCAGTCACCATGTTATTGTTCCAGCAATTGAGTCAAAACATCCAGACTCTGTTTCTCATCTAATCTGTCGTTAAAGGTCTAAGATTCTGTCTCCCCACTGAGAGATGTTCTCAGTGGCACTGTTGCCCACACAGCCCCCTGCCACCTCCCGCTGACCCATGGATTTGCTGCACACAAGGGACACTCTTACTCTGGATTAAACCAGTCGGACAGCTGAAGCTCCTCGTTGTCTTCCTTTTCTCTCTCTATGTCTTCTTCCTCTTGGGAATTGTGGGTCCTATGTACAAAGGGAAAGCAGGGTGAATAAGGCAGGGAGGGCATCTATGGTGTCAGGAAGTCAGTGACTGTCTGGAGAAGGTTCATAACACTAAATGGTTATGCATAAGGACATACTTTGTGTAAAAAGGCGCACTACCCGTCTTTGTGATGATGATCCAAGACAGCATAGTTAGCAGTTTAATGACACAACAGTCCTCAGATTATTTCAGTGGCGGGGGAATTTTATCAAATAGTCCACATAAGGACATTTTATCTTATGATAATCTTTCCTACAACCTGAACTCAGCCCAAGCCCCACTCACCCCCAACTTAAAAAACAAAAACCTTTACTGTTCTGTTCCCAACCATGAAATAGATTCCTTATATGATTTCAATAAGCCAGAAACATGAGTGACTGAGACGGCCATGGCCATGACACTGTTTATCTGGACTCTAAACATGTCCAGTCGATGGAAACACATACCAGTGTCTCATAGCCTTACCCATTTTCAAACCAGTTCGGAAACCACCAGCCCTTCTGACTGCCGTTGTCACCAAGTTCTGGGTTTCTAAGAAATGAAAAAGATGAAAAACATTTTTAGAAAGTGAGGCAGTCCCAGACTGGGGTTTTTCCAAATTCTTTTTATGACAGAAAATGATTAAACAAAATTTTTAAAACTGCTGGCTGGTAAAACAAACAGAAGTGAAGCTGCTCCAGGTGAATGGGAGAGGCCAGGCCTGACAGTGCCCAGACCTCTCCTCCTGGGACAGCTCCAGCACTCGCTCATCATCCAGGGAGCCCCGGCAGGGCAGGAGGAGAGAAAGAGAATGATGGGGGGGATGGGGACGACAGTAATACATAAACTCAAGTCTTGGATCTGCCACTTACTATTGTATGGCTATGATAGGCCATTTTCCCCTTTCTGAATCTCCATTTTTCTCCTCTGAAAAGTAAGATAATAATACTAATACAGGGTGGAGTAAAAGTAAGTTTATTTGTGAGTCTACTTTTGCCCCACCCTGAATAGTAATAACAATAATAATAATAATAACAATAAACCTACCATGAAGGCAGCTAAATGAAATAGCATACATAAAAGAGCTTTCTAAGTTGAAAATAAATGTAACAGGTTGTGATCTTAATAAAGAAACCAGCGCACCTGTCCAAGAATGATCTCTTTTGCTTTAACTAGGAGAACTCAGGTTGCTACAAAGTCAGCAGTCACAGCCTCAGGAAATCTGCTTATGTGGTGTATCACATTTATTGTTTGGCAGCTATTGTCCCCACCTTGAATCTCCGGAATAAATACCACCTGATTGTGGCGTATGATCTTTTTAATGTGTTGCAGAAATCTGAGGGTCTCTGAACCAGAAACTCAGAAACCTGTAATCAGAAGCCACCTTCCCCACCCACATGCAGAAGTTTCCACACTCATCTTGAGAGTCTCCCCAAGGTAGGGGCCTTCTTGGGGAGGGGAAATGAGAAACCAGGCAATGTAAGGCCTTTCATTTGGACAAATTGAGTGCTGAGACGTGAACAGACATGATAATATTAAGAAACCTGTTTGAAAGCTCATCTACTTTCAGGGAGCATTTAAGATGGTTTATGATTAAGAACTACAGTTACAATAACTGGGGAAATAATACCAGAATAAAACAAACAAGAGGGAACAGAAAGAGAAACATTTACTTAGTCATTCAGGTACGTATTTTCACAATGACCCTGGTCATCCCAGCAACTCTCAAGAATAAAGGTTTTACCTCTATTTTCATTTGTAGCTGAAATATTGGCTGAGTGGGTTTGGGGAAACTGCCAAGATCCCATGGCATTTTGTAAGCATAAAAACCCAGACTTAATGCCACAAGATAAGCTGTATCAGAAATGAAGGCTGAGGGAAGTACAAGCAGTTAAGCAAACCACATTGCTCCGGGCTTCCTGGCAACCAAGCCAAAGATAGAAAAATGAAGGCTTACATAGTTCTTACTGGCAATGATGATGATGATAATAATCCTATCTAATAAAGAAGAATATGCTAATTGACCCTCACTCCATCGCAAAGATGGTGGCACCCACAGCCAATAAGGAGGGAATATGCTGGTTGCCCCGCCCTCAAAAATGGCAGTGCCCACAGCCAATAAGGCGGGACTATGCTAATTGACTGTCCCACCCTCAAAGATGGTGGCGCCCAAAGCCAATAAGGAGGGGATATGCTAATTAACTGCCATGCCCTCAAACAAGATAGTTACCCCCATATGGTCAAAGATGGCTGCCTCTGTGTGGTCAAAAGATGGCTGGCAGGGGAGGGCAGTTGGGGGCAACCAGGCCTGCAGGGGAGGGCAGTTGGGGGTGACCTGGCCAGCAGGGGAGGGCAGTTGGGAGTGATCTGGCCGGCAGGGGAGCAGTTAGGTGTCAATCAGGCTGGCAGAGGAGTGGTTAGGGGGTGATCAGGCTGGCAGGCAGAAGCAGTTAGGGGCAATCAGGCAGGCAGGCGAGCAGTTGGGAGCCAGCAGTCCCGGATTGTGAGAGGGATGTTCGACTGCCAGTTTAAACCAGCAGTTGGACATCCCCCAAGGGGCCCTAGATTGGAAGGGTGCAGGCTGGGCTGAGGGACACCCCCCCTGCATGAATTTCGTGCACCAGGCCTCTAGTAATAATAATACACCCACTAGTTCATCATAGTTCCAAATGTTTTTTCATGATCCTTTGTCCCAAAGAAATTTAGCAGAAGGGACCATTATCCACCCTGACTCTCTTTATTGGGAAGGCAGGAATGTTCCAAAGGACACCACTTAAAGAGACCCTTCATGAGAAAGAAGCAAGGGCAACACACAGCCTTTGCTCTATAAAGGCATGTCTAGGAGGCCAGAGGCACGCTCTCCAGATCTCCGGGGACCTGCCTCTGCCCTCCACCTTTGAGCACAGCGCCATCACCAGCTGCCATGTTAAGAACTGACTGTAGGAGGTGCAGGAGTGGTCGTGGGAGCTGTCCCAGAGACATCTAGAATTCAAAGCACTTACTTTGAGTGATATATCCACAAGAAAGAGCCTTCTGGGCTAAAAGCAAAGGGGAAAGAAAAACATATCATGTTACTTTTAATTCTGAGAGAAGCTATTTTGCAGCCATTATCACTGAAGCCCTGGGCTGAGTTGAGAGCCTGGTTTTAGCTGCTCCTAGGTTTCCACCTTCCTTTGAGTTAAAACCAATGACCTCAGGATACTGGGAAGTTGCACTGCAGTCACTTCCGTATTTACCCAGAACAAGGAGGTCTCTGGAGACTCAAATCTTAGTAAATAAAAAAGACGACAGCTCTTCATTGTGGCTTCAACGAGGGAGAGAGGCTCACAGATGGGTTCCCTCCTGCCATTTCCTCAGGAACACCACAGCCCAGCCAGCCCTCACCCAGGATTCACCTTCCCCCAGAAAACAAAATGACTGCAGAGCCTAATGCCGCGTCCAGCTCAGAGCTTCAGAGACACACTGTTCCTCCCTCATCTAGAAACTTGGACTAAGAGCTGGAGGGAGTGCACAGCACAGTTCCTAGTACACGCAAACAAACACTCAGTAACTGGTAGCTGCTGTCAGCATGATCGCCATCATCATCATCATTCGTTTACTGTAACTTTTAAAGTTTCCTCTGGCTCTAAAATTCTAAGATGTTTTTTCCATCAAGCTTCAAATCAAACGCTGTCCTAGGTGACATTCTTTCAGATGCTCTGCTGACAGCAGTTTTATTTACTAATCGTCTGATGTGTTCAGTTATTTTAAAATCCTTTTTAGCCCATCACCACCCACCTGTCTAAAGTTAGTGCCCCAGCTCACCTCAAATCATCACACAGCCAGTTCATAAGGTGGCAAAGGATCTGCTGCCTTTTAAGCACCTTGAAGGTATTCAAGTAGACTCCTCACATTGAGGAATGATGTGGCCACAGTCTGGGTGCCACATGGCCCTGAAGAGCAGCCAGAACCTGCCCTGACTACTGAGCAAAGTCTGTGCCCAGCACTGCAAAATGACCCTCTTTATGCACATTTGTGCCTTTGGCTCCAATAATTTAATTTGTGAATCCTCAAAATATGGAAGCACAACTCTGGCTGTAATTCAAAGCACTATGGTTATCCAATCAAGCACTCACAGCTAATTCAGGGCAGGACCCCCAAAGGTTACTTGTTCTGTTGGATTCTTCCAACTGCTAGAGCTTCTTGCCATCTGCCAAAATCCCCTGTCCTAGTCTGCCTCTGGAGTAGAGGACGATGGTGATGGTGATGATGAAGAAGATGAACATAGCAGCTTGCATCTCTTGAGTGCTTATGAAGTTCCAGATATTGCTCTACCTGCTTTATACTCAATATCTTATTTAATCCTCCCAACAATCCTATGAAGCAGGTACTGTTACTATCACCATTTTTAAAAATAGGGAAAATGAGGAACAGAGTGGCTGGGTAAATTGCCCAAAGTCACCAAGGAGATAAGTGGTGGCACAAGACCAGCCCCAGGCAGCCCTCACTCCAGACTCAGCCCTGGAGTACCTAAGGAGGCTCAGGGTCCCTTCACCTAACTCTGATTCACCTTTTCTTTGGACTAAGTACCCCCAGTTTCCTCAATTTGAAAGACCTGGCTTGTAGGCCTTCTAACTTGGTCACACTCATCTTGTTTTTCTTAAAATGAGTTGTTCAGAATGACACTCCCAAAGCAGTTAGATTATGCAGCACCCCAGGGTGTAGGGGGAAGGCTCCCAAGTTCTGGAGCAATTCTTCTACTGATGGACCTCAAGGTGCAGTTCCTTTTTTTGGTAGCCACAATGGTCCTGTTGGCACATCTTAGAATTTAAGAATTGGAAGACATTCGCATGTTAATCCAGGCTGTCGTGGTGAATGTGGGACTACTAAAACACTTCACCATGAGTGTATTAATGGTGCCTGGACAGCTCTCTCTGCCTAGAGCTGTATGATGGACTTTTTGGATGAGCTGTACCAGGGCCTTTGAAGTCAAAGGCATCGTGCATTTTTGCAGCTGCCTGTGGAGCCCTCTTTCTATCAGAAGCCTCTCCAGCTGGAATCTCTGAGGCATTGTAGTTTCCAAAAGCACAGAAGCAGTGCTTTTGGGTGAATGCACTCAGGAATGTTTAATTCCCTTTGCTTTCCAGAGTTAAAAAAGAAAAGAAAAGAAGTTTCAGCCAGGCACAAATGAATCACAAGTGTATTTTGCAACAAAAGTCAACAACTTGAGTTGCTCCATTAAACTCTGCAAATATCCAGGATTGCAAAAGCCAGGGTGGATTTCTCATGGAACTTGCGTCTGAAATTTCTTAAAGGTAATTTCTGTATCTGGCCATATGGATAATTTTAATTACATTTGGCCTGCCCAGAACTGCCTAAATACAAAAATCAAGACATTGGGAACACAACAGGAAGGAAGCTAGTGAATTAGCCAGAAGGCACTTGGAGCTCGAATGCTTATAAAGACAGTTCAGGGGAGAGTTGGGTAAGGGGGAGAGATCAACCAAAGGACTTGTATGCATGCATATAAGCCTAACCAATGGACAGACACCAGGGGGGTGAGGGCATGAGTGGCGGGGCGGGGGGGAGGGGGGGCAATGGGGGGATAATGACACATATGTAATACCTTAATCAATAAAGAAAAAAAATTTTTTTTTTTTTTTAAAAGACAGTTCAGGGCTCAGGGACACTGGAAAGGTGGAATCTACCTTTAATTCAACCTGATGACTTGGTTAACACTAGCAGATCAGAGTAACTTTCATCTACATCATTTCAACATGTTTCATAATTACCTGTTGATATATTCCCAAAACACAACAATTACAGTTGAGACAACCAGCATTGACAGAATCACTTTTCCTTTGACATTCATTATTTTCTCCTGGGAAAAGAAAAGAAAAAGAGGGGAAAAATAGACTCAATAAATCCAGAGCAAGATACGGTTTTTAAGAAATGCTTCCACCTATATCCTCTCTAAAAGGAAATGTTTATGAATATTTAACTAGAGCTAAGAAGTGTGCTCTACCTTAAATTGCATAGGTCTGCAATGGCAAATCAGGCCAGGTTGATGAATTGACAGGGCTCTTATGCTAGGAAGGATGCTAAGGCCACTTTGGGGCTCAGAAGGAAAAGTACCTGGATGATCATGAGGTCTGCCATGAATGGGGAGCATGAGGAAGTAACTGGAAGTGGTTTCCATGGCTGCCAGGGGCCAGTACTCAGATCACCCACCTCTTGGCAAGTGGCTGCAAGGAACCATCCATTTCCTGGCTTTGATTTCCTTAATACATTGACTACATGCCCTGTGCTCAGAGGGGAAACCGCTCAGTCCTTGACAATCTAGGCTCACGCACTTCCCACCCCCACCCACCTTTCCCCTCCACACCCACAGCAAGTAAACGATTGGTGCATAGTAAGCGCATGAGTATTCTTGGTTGCTGAGTGAAATTGTGTTTGAGGGGGGAGGGGTGCTGGGTGGGGAAAAGCAGGTTGGGAAGTAAGTACTTTAATTCGAGTGGCTGGGAGAGACCTCACTGGGGAAGTGACTGAAGCTTCTGAAGGAATGAAAACAGGATAGAGAGGGGTGAAAAGTGTGCCATGAGAAGGGATCAGAATATTTCGGACAGCAACTATGATAGGAGAAAACACTGACAGGAGAAAAAGCTTCTTGTGTTTGAAGAAAAGACAAAAGCAAAAACCTAAACGAGAATAAATAGTGAAGTTCTCTCACTTTAGTAGCTGGAACAAGGGCGGGGTGAGCAGAGCAGAGAGTGCCTGGGAAGGTGCGGAAAGGGTGTGGGGACCCACAAAAGCACCTAAAGCTAGGGTATCACCTGATCCAACTTCATTCTGAGGCCCCACTGAGTGCTGGGAGTGCTGGGGTGGGAAATGAATGTGGGGTGCTGGGGCTCGAACCCAGCATGGGGGCAAGGGCAGACCTGGGGAAGTTAGGCGGCAGGTTATTCCAATGGCCTGTGCTAAAAAGGAGAGAAGTCAATTAGACTTTGGAGAGAGAAGTGTGGATGGTGATCAAACACATGGGCTTTGGAATGGGGCAGCGACTGGAGACCGGGCTCAGATACACATGAAACTGGGGAGCCCTAAACACGTGGCAGTCCCTTATCCATGTCTCCAAAAAGCTCTGAAAACCAAAAAACATTTTTTGTAATTCAACTGGCATCATGGCCCTCACTGACATGAGGCTATGCATAATCCTTATCCTACTGAGCGAGATTGTTTAAATGTCTCTTTGCATAGATATTGATGCATTTTATTATTTGGTGCTGCTGTACTGGGGTTCTCACATAATATATGATATATAATCTGCACCACAAAAATCCTGCACTCCAGGTCCTAGGGTTTCAGAAAAAGGATTATGGACCTGTAACGGATCATATTAAATTGGTTTCCTCGTCTCTAAAGTGGGGATAAAAATGGCCATGATTGCAAGAGATAATGTCCATAAAATACTTAGTATTGTGCCCAGAACCATATAAATATACCAAAAAATGCTCGTTCTTATTACTGGTGTCCATAAAACAGGCTGCCGGGAGGACCCAGTGCCCGGTATTTAGCAAGAGCTCAAAACATATTTGATGGAGAAGAATGAGGTTTTTGGAATAAGATCATGTGAAAAAGTGCAGGGAGATGTAGATTAGGGACTCTAAAGGTTTATCCATTTGTTCTATGCTGCAGCCCCACGAAGAGCTCCTTGGGAGTGGGAGACTTCGATTTTCTTTGATTAAGGTGGAGGCCCTGCTACAACACCCTGCCTGTGCTGAGGAGGCCATCACACTGCCGGATGAGCATCCCAGGTTTTATCGGCCCCACCTGCTGAGGATCAAATGCAGTTTGTCTCCCAGTGTGAGAAACGTAAAACAGAAAAGCACACAAACTCTCACGGTAGAGAACACCGAGGCCTACGTGAGAGAGAGGCAAAATCAGACACATCCCCTAATTGCCTCTCCATGCAAAGTGTTGATGATTTTTCCTTTTGCAAACTAGCATCAGAAATAATTCATGAAGGCCCTTTCTTTCTGGACTTCATAGATTGCTTGCATTGGCCATTCATCATGATTGGAAGCTACCCAAATGAGCCAACACTGCATCCTTTAGCGAAGCACTAGATGTAGGTGTAGATGTGATTCTTGGGATCTGGAATGCACATCTCAGAGAAGGAAGGGTTGGCAGGGTGGCCAATGGGTCTTTTAAGACATTTTTCTATTTCTCTCTGGACAAAAATTAGGCATTTGGCAGCTAGTGCGTGGTCTAAAAGTCTTTCTTTTATGTGTCTGTCTCTCAGAATTTTCAAAACTGTGTAATTCTGAAGCTGGGTGGTTGACTATCTTAGTCACCAACTAGGAAACATGGGATTGTGTCTAAATTCCCCATTTAAGGGGTAGAGCACAGAAATAGGATTGCTGAATATTGACACCCTGCCTCACATGGGAGCGTGTAACTGGGTCACCTGGCCCCCAACCCTGAGAGGACTTGGTGAACTCAGCCACACCCAGACCCACCAGAGCCCTCCTACCATCTCTCAGGCACTTGTCAGGTGCTACCTGTTTCTCTCTGAATCCATCCTACCTCCCACTGGGCTGCTCCTGGGCCACTCCCAGAACTCAGCCCCTGCACAGGTTCACAAATGAAACCACACCCCACCCCACTCCACACCCCCCTCACCTCCACCCCCACTCACACCTCCACCTCCTGGAACACATGCAGATTGTGCTAAAAACCTGAGGGCATTTCTAAGGGCAGGGTCACCTTGTAAAGCCTGTTATTTCTCCACCTTTCCAGTTTTACCCTCCTCTTCCTTTTCCACTTCTATTTCCCTAGCGTGGCTCATAAATTAATTCTACCTTACCCCTCCCCTCCAACCTGTCCCACACAGAACAACACACACACACACACACACACACACACACACACACACACACACACAACTTCGGTCTGGGATTCCAAACAGAAATCCTCTCTGAAAGGAATTGGAGTGGACCGTGGACCTTGTTTTCTTCATCTCATGTCAGGGGAAAGGTGAAGGTCTCAGATGAGTAACAGCTCAGAAGCCCTGGAAAAGCCATTATCTCCAGGAGCCGGAATTGCAGGGGACAGCAGTGGCAGAGGAAACCAAACCTTCCCACAACTGAAGAATCTTCCTCTGCCCGTGGCCCCTCCCGCAGCCCTGGACCCCATCCCCTGCTCGCTCCAGCCTCACTCACTCCAGGGCGATGGAGATGGAGCCAAAGACTGAGTGACAATGCTGTGAACAGGTAAGGGGAGGGGAAGGTGCAGGAGAACTGGGCATTAAAGACCTTGGGAAAAACTATCTTCTATCCTCCACACCCTCCACTGCAATGTTTAGATTCAGCATTCCAGGTAGAAATGAGGCTAGCACTGACCCATTTAAGGTCCCTGGTTCACCCCAGGTTTCAGCACCAAATGTTAGGTTCGGTGGCTCAGGAGGCGGCGAAGGAAATAAAGAGAGTTGATCAGAAAAGGAAGGAAGGAAGGAAGGTTTATTCTGCGTCCCTGGGAGACCCATGTACCCTCAAGGACAGGGCATGTGGATTCACGCCAACAGGGAGGGGGGCGCTTTCTTTATACTGCGGTTGGGTGAGGGGCAGGGACATGAGCTGAGGTATTCAGCTGATCAGCTGAAGAAGTTTCCACTGCAGGGGGTCAGCAGGGGTATTCAGGAAGGAGTCAGTATCTGTGTGGGGGTCGTGTTGATTCAGGGAGAAGCCAGTATCTGTGTCTGGCACGGTGATCTGTTAGAAATGCCAGGGGGAGTCCATTATCTGCATGTATCCGATCCTGGGCTCTCTCCGACCTAATATCTAGGCCTTGGGCAAGTTTTCCAACTCTCTGAGCCCCTACTCACACAAAAAAATGCAGCATCAAGCACCCTCCTCTGGGGGTCTCAAAAGTTCCAAAGGAGACCGTGTGTAGGAAGCACATTGTGCTGGTGGTTAGTAATTGCTCCACCGATGGCAGCCAAAGTGATGACACTTTTTAATGTGTGGCTCTGAAGGCAGAGAGGTGGCTTCACCTGAGAGGCAAGTGGGCCCTCAGGGAAGCACCACACAGAAGCTCAAGGCAAGCCCACCCCCATCCCCACTCTGACTTGAGACAGTCAGCTCCCCTCACCGCTGCCCAGGACTCAGGGCCCAGCTGCTCCTCGTATTTGCCCCACTGCCTGGAAATCAACCATGGCTGGAAGTCTCATTGTAAGAGGTTAGTTCACTTAGCCACGTGGAGCACATTTCGCTGCAATGGCCCCATACATTCCTTCAAGTACCGATCAAATGATAAGATTACTGGTCAACAAGATTTAAGCCAAGAGGCCTACTTACCCAGAAGCCAATAAAGCCTGGCGACAGGCCCCTTGCAAGAGTGGGTTGGGGGGTGGGAAGGCCTTAATGCTTCCCAGAAGTGAGGAATGTCCCCTGCTTGGGGGAGTCACTCCAGCCTTGGTGCTTGGCCTGGGGCTGCACACCCGCCTGGATCCCTGTGACAACAGAACCTAGGTGGACCTTGTAACACACAGGAGCCCTTCCTTTTATCGAAAGGAGAAAGAGCTGAACTAGATGCTGCTCTGCTCCCTGCTCAGGGGTCTTGATGATCATGACCTCATGCCCATAACCTCCAGATGACCCCATCCAGGATCAAGAGTTGAGTTGTCTGGTGCTCTGGCCTGGAGCCACCTGAGCAAGAAACTGCCAAAAGACTTCCAGATGAGGCACCACCAATTATAAGTTGTGAAGCTGAAGGAAACTTTTCTAAACGCTCAGTAATAAAAAGCAACCGTTGATTAACCACTGCTAGAGGCAAAACTGGTTTGTCTTTCTTTTGTCTCTATTAAAAATGATACTACAAAATCACTGTCAGACAACAAGGCAACCCAAGAGTGTGCAGCCAAAAATATGACTGGTGCATTAGACACCTACATAATGCTAATCATTTTTACATTGTTTTCATATCATTTTATTATGATGTTGTTGTCTGGATTTTGTCCTATTTGGAGTATCTGTCAGTTTTTGTAATTTTTGTGATATGTCTGCTCATATTCTAAATAAAATTGACCCTTGAACAATGAAGGGATTAGGGGTGCTGAATCCCTGCAGCTGAAAATCTTCATATAACTTTTGTCTCCCCCAAAACTTAACTACTCATAGCCTACTATTGATGGAAGCCTTATCAATTACATAAACAGTTGATTAACACATATTTGTATGTTATATGTATTATATACTGTATTATTACAATAAGCTAAAGAAAAGAAAATGTTAAAGAAAATTTTAAGAAAAATATGTTTACAGTATTTATTGGGGAAAAAATCCAAGTATAAGTGGACCTACGCAATTCAAACCCTAGTTGTTCAAGGGTCAACTATATCCATTTCCATGACTAATATTGTATTTGCAATTTTACATTCTTTCTCTAAAGAAGATCCTGAAAATTGAATAAGCTTCAGGCCCTAACAACACTTGATGCTCTCAGCTGAATCAGGCCAGGCCCTGGGCTAACCACTTTGTCAGCAGTTTCTCAAGGTAAGCCTCACAGCAACCCTGTGAAGTCACTCTAGAATTATCCCCATTTTAAATATACGAAAATAGAGGCTCAGAGAGGTTAAGTAACTTGCCCAATGTCACACAGCATGAAGTGGTAGAGCCGGGACTCAGGTCCAGGTCCAGGTCCAGGACATTGGCCTCTGGTGCCCACCATTTTCACCACTCTGTTCTCAGAAAACATGAGGACCGAAGCTGGTTTGGCTCAGTGGATAGAGCGTCGGCCTGTGGACTGAAGGGTCCCAGGTTCGATTCCGGTCAGGGGCATGTACCTTGGTTGCGGGCACATCCCCAGTAGGAGATGTGCAGGAGGCAGCTGATCGATGTTTCTCTCTCATCGATGTTTCTAACTCTCTATCTCTCTCCCTTCCTCTCTGTAAAAAATCAATAAAATATATTTTAAAAAAAGAAAAAGAAAACATGAGGGCTTACAATGGATTAATCACTCAGGTCTCCTTGGGACATTCTCTCTTTTTGCCTCATATGATAATCACAGAGTGACTGGCCCAAAGCTAGCCAATCTGGGGCTAGCCTCATTGAGGGGCTGGCTTCCCCTTTGACCAGCTGGTGAGCACTGGCTCCTCTGCCATTCCCAGGCATCTCCTGTGTGCCTGGTGCAGATCTTCCTCACTCACTCACTCCATCTGTTCATCCCTCATCATGGTCAGTGCCGTGGCTTTTCCACTGAGGAAACTGAGCTTTAGCGGAGGCTGAGATGGCAAGCTCACCCAGAAGGAGATGCCAATTTAAAAAGCAGACCCTATGACTCTCAGGCCCAGCTCCTGACAGGGGGCTACTGCTGGAGCTGAAGCGGGAGGATACTGCTTTACCCGAAAACTTCTCTAAATTGGTGGGTGTAGGGGCCCTGGCCGGGTAGCCCAACTGGCTAGAGTGTTGTCCCAATACACCAAGGTTTTGGGTTCGATCCTCATCAGGGCACATAGAGGAATCAAACAATGATTGCATAAATAACTGGAACAACAAATCAGTCTCTCTCTCCTTTCTCTCTAAAATAAGTAATTAAATAAATGTTTACATAAATAAATAAATTGGTGGGCTTTATAGGGAAATGCTCCCCATTGGAAGAAACAAGGTATAATTCCTGGAAAAACAGTGCATAGAAGGCTGTTTGCAGTTAAGTTTTTCATTATGAGGGTCAGGGTAAACACAGACGGAGGAAACAGACAAGTCTCAGACTAAATACATGGCTAAGTGTCACTCCAGCCATCACAAACAGTACAACCTGTTCTCTGAGATACATCTTGTTGTACCTTTTCTTGAGTCCCTTCTGGAAATCTGAAGCCTGGATCCAGCCAGCTTTGCCTTGCTGCATGATCCCAACATTGTGCAAGGATTTTTCCAAGAGAAATAAGGTAAAGTAAACAAAGAGTCTACTGCACAGAGAGGGCTCCGCATCTACCTATGTGACCCCTGCACTGTCACCCTGAGTCCTGCAGAGAAAACCCCAGGCTGCAGCCACAGCCCCGAGAGGTCCTGCCAGGGGAAGCCAAATCCAGGAAAACTTAGTGATGTCCCTGAGCCAACATCCGCCAGCTCCCACTTCTAGAACCCATGCCGGGGACAGAAGGACTCTGGCTTCTTCCAGAACTACTGAGTGGGGTGTGGGGGACCAGCAAGAGGTTAGGGGAAAGCGAGGGTCCTCCCCCAGGTAGATCCTCACTGCTGCCTGCTCACAGTTCCCCCAGTGACCCCAACAAGGCAGAAGTAAATCATTCCAACATTTCACATACCTCATCGTCTGCTTCTCTCCTCCCAGAGTAAAAGGCAAAATAACAAAGTCCTGTTGAGCTCCGTTCTACAGAAGGAGGCAGGGCTGGGAGGAAGGGAAGGTGCTGTGGTCCAACTCCTGTCAAAAGAATAAACAGCTGTTTCAGGAAGAGTGGGGCAGACAAATCCCAGAGCAGCCAGAGGCTTTGTTCCCTGCTGGCCCTGGGAAATAGCTGTTTATCAGACTGTTGACTAAGAGGTACATGCCAAGGCAGAGCATATCTCTCTCTGGGCCCATGAACAGCCCAGCCTCCTTCATCAAGTGAAACTACAGGTCCAAACTAGGCCTGCTGTCGGAGGAGGGAAGGCTACCACCCCAGAGAGGGACACACAGGCCGCCCACGTCACCACTCCTTGGCAAAAATGGGAACTGTCCTGAACCCAAACAACCCCAAGTGACTACTATTAGGAACAGCCAATGGAGATATAAAATGAAACTAAAATAAAATAAACTTTTAAATGTAGAGGGGTGGGGGAAGTACAATGTCCTCAAGACTTGTACTTGTTGCTGAAATGCTGCCTATATGTTCCTCAGAGTGAAGCCTGGCCTCTGCATCCTTTAGACCAGCAGTCGCCAACCAGCAGCCACTGGGGGTCCGTGAGGTCCGCAAGGTTGGCAAGTGAGGTCTGCAAGGTTGGCGACCGCTGCTTTAGACTTTGGAAGCTGTTTTGTTTGAACACTATTTTTATAGAATGTTATGAGTGAGATCTCCCGCTTTGCAAACTGAACTATAAGAACTTTAAAAGGCCAACTGGCTCTTTGGCTGAATAATGCTTAACCCTTCCCACACCCACCTCCTGCTCCCAAAATAGAATTTTCCAGCTGGACGGGACCTTAGAGCAATGCATTTTCAAACACCGCAGGAAAACTCTCAAAAACACATGAAGTCATTCTCAGAACTCCGCTGTGTGAAACAAAGGTCAACGGAGTGCTGTGGCCAAAGCAGGGAAGTGAAGCTCAAAGCCCCCTTATGCCTCCCCTCCCAAGGAGCCCCAGACACCTCTCAGGAGTACAGTCTGGAAACCCCAGACTAAGAAGAGGGGACCAAAACCCGACAGGAAGGAGCTAAGGACTGCCCACCCCCACCCCTAAGGGCTGCCTAACCCAGCATCTTCCCCACTCTTCTCCAAAGCACATTTCACAGCTCCTCCCCTGGGGCAGGAGCTGGTTGACCAGGAGCTTTAGGGTCTGGAAATTCTAACAACTTGCTTAAATCCTTCCTGCTGGTATCTATCAAAGCCGAATAAATGCATACCTATGACCCAGTCATTCTACTCTAGGCCTACATCCCAAATAAAACTCACATAAGCTCACCAAGAGACATGGACTGGAACATTAATAGGGCACCCAAAACTGAAAGCAACCCCAAGCCCTCTGTGGACCAGATCCAGCTTCCTGCCCCACCCCCACAGGCCCTATCTCATTCTCCCTGAAGCTTTGGTCCTCCGCTCCCTCCTTTTCCCCAAGGTGAGGGAGGTTGCTCAATTCAGTGGCTAGTCTTGTGAGGGCCATTCCTGGGGGCATCTCTGCCTTGGCAGCCCTTAGGCCTGCTGCTTCTAGAAGAATGTGCTTGACAAATGTATTGTGGTTCCCTTCCAGTCAAGCAAAATTTGCTTTAGCACCAGTTCCTCATCCTGTGCTCCTGGGGTCACTCAGCACACACCCTATTTTAAGGGTACAGCCTTGTCAAAGGAGAGTTCAAAGAACTAAGCCTGTACGACTTAAGGGAGAAATACTAGTATTTGATGCTCTTATTCTCTCCTTTGGATTTCACCTGGTGTGCCCTACAGAAATTATTGCTTTTCATGACAAAGCCACTGAGTTTCATGATGAGAACTGTGAAGTTGTTTCAGGGTCAGCGGATTCCCCACTATAGCCGTCTAGCCTGGACCACCACACTGAGGGAGAATGGCTGTTGGGGCCACATGAATATCGCGCTACTGTCAGATTTGACTAAACAGATTTCCTGAGACTAAGATGTGCTGTTAGAAGGTCCTGGTCTTACACTAAGAAGTCTCTTCCTAACTGACCCCAATGGAGTCATCAAGCATTTGAATGTCAATGATCTCCCAGTGGGCCTCTGCCTGGTGAAAGCATTCCAGTTTGTGGGAGTCCATGGAGAAGTCTGCTTAGCAAACTGGACCCCAGATTCTCCTATGATCAAGCCACGCCTGACTGCTTCCAAAGAATACTTTGAGAAGGTAAATCAGTAGGTCATCTGTGTGCACCTGCAGCTTCTCAAAAGGAGTTGGAACTTACTTTTAGCATTGCAAAGAAGATTACAGAAAAAAAATAAAGCAGATCCTTTGTGATCGAATTGGGATTCGACACACAGCACTGAGAATGAACCAGCGACAGCTACTAACATCAACAGGATGCATCTCACACGCACAGCATTGAGTGAAAGAAGCCCCGGATGGTTCTGTTTCTTTAAAGTTCAAAAACAGGCAAACCCTATCTATGGTATTAGAAGTCAGAGTGGGGGTGGTAGACTGGGAGGGGACTGGTCATGTTATTTCTTGAGCTGGGTAGTAGTTACATGGGTATGTCCACTTACTCATCACACATGGGACTTTTCCATGTGTATGTTAAAAACAAAAATGGCCAGGGACCTTCCTGCTGAAAGCTGCCTTCTCTTGGGCATTCTGTCTTCCCCTGACACTGGCTCAAGGGCCACAGAATAATGGACAGCCCTGCCTTTTCCTTCACTTGTGTTCCCTGTCCCAATACCAAGTGCCACCAAGCACCTCACTAGGGGTTCAGGGAAGATCTGTTGCGTTAATCCATCCATGAATCTGGACTTAAGGTCAATGCAATAGGAAAGATAACAGAGTTTGGAGGCTAAGGAGCTGGGCTAAGATAAACTGGTCCTTTTGACGAGCAAGCACTGATCATGGGTCAGATGGGTCTCCCATTTTTTCAGTAAAGCAGCCTTTCCTTTTCTGAGTGATCCTCGGGATCACCCACCAGCGGTCAGGGAACAGGGAGGCTCTGGCAGTCTCGGTGACTTGCTCACCGTCACCAGCTATGGGTCTGGCGTTGCTCTTTCCCTCAGCTGTGTCCAGGGGACCTTCTAGAGCAGCGGTTCTCAACCTGTGGGTCGAGACCCCTTTGGCGGTCCAACGACCCTTTCACAGGGGTCGCCTAAGACCATCCTGCATATCAGATATTTACATTACGATTCATAACAGT